GTGCTCTAAAAAGGAAGGAACTCTTACATTTGCAACAGCATGGATGGAACTGGAGAGCATTATGCTAAGTGAAATAAGCCAGTCAATGAAGGGAAAATACATGATCTCACTCATTTCTGGATAATAAAGACCATTATAAACTTATGAACAAAAATAGATACAGAGGCAGAGCTGCCTCGAACAGACTGTCAAACTACAGCAGGAAGGCCGGGGAGGGGGGAGGGTAGGAGGGCAGTGGGTAAGAGATCAACCGAAGGACCTGTATGCATGCATATAAGCATAACCAATGGATGTAAGACACTGGGAATAGGGGAGGCCTGGGGATTGTCAAGGGCGGGGGGAAAAACAGGAGACATATGTAATACTCTGTGTAATACTTTAAGCAATAAAAAAAAATCTATGATTTCAGCTGTCACTCAAACCCAATTATTTCTGACTCTTTATCTTAAGACAGATTACACATTTGAAATCTAGCTATACAAGTGTCTAATGGCTATCAGCATTTGGATGTCTCAAAGATAAGCATGCGGAGTAAAACTAGACTCCACAACACTTGACCCTATTCCTTCAATGTTCCTCTTTTCTGATTTGTGTAACTCTCCCCAGCAATGGGTATCCATCCTAGTTTGTTCTTATCTGCCACTTCCAACCAGTACCCAGTTTGTGTTTTTACCTCCTAAATCTCCTTCTCCCTCTCCATCTATCTTATTTTATACCCTCTGTATTTCTCAGCAAGACCTTTTCAGTCAGAGGCACACTAGACTCCACACTGATATAGAAGTGAGCTCTCTGTTGCTCAGGGTACAAACCTCAGTTCTGCTACATACCAGCTGCATGGGTAAGGGTATCACCTGTTACCTTACTATTTATTTCTGAGGTATGGAACTCGGCTGCTGCTTCAATGTCAAAACAGACCCAGTCATAATATAAAGAACTCCAAAAAACATAGTTTGTCCTGGCAATAGGTCAGTCCTCCACCTTTAAATTATGGTGACTGTAGGGCACTTTAAGTACAACATGGGGACTGACTCTGAAGCAGATTGCTGGCCTACCACCTATTAGGGCTATAGCAGAGGTTGTGCTGGCACAAATAGGAACTTGGCATGAGGTTCCTTCTCCTCCAGTTTCAAACCTGGCTTAGAAATATGTCAGTGAAAACTCTAATCATCGATTCTTTCAAAAGTTTTTATTATGATCTCTCATTTTTATACCTGAATAACAACTTTCCCCAAAGGGATGATGACACACAATCTTTATTCTAAAAACAATATATAGATAACATATTGATAGCATCTCATCAGTGGTATCATTGTCTTAAAATTCTTTGGTTAAGAAGTTCTTCTAGAACTTCGCTGGAGATCCAGACCAGAACTTGGCTGGAGATCCTGGCTAGAGATCCTGGCTAGGCTGCTGATCAACTGAACGCTGTCTCCGTGTCATTCCTTCTTCGCCGACTCCGTCCACACCTTTGGGGAACCCTGGACCTGCTGGGGTTGGACCCCAGCATGACCCTCTATAAAAAATGTTTCAGAAATGGGCATTATGACACGATGAAAACATTAATGGTCTCCTTGAATAAATACCAGCATGGTATAAAGGAAAAAAAAAAGAAGTTCTTCTGCCCTGGCCAGGTAGCTCAGTTGGTTAGAGCATAGTCCCAATACACCAAGGTTGCAGGATTGACTCCCAGTCAGGGTACATACAAGAATTAACCAATGAATGCATAAATAAGTGGAACAACAAATCAGTGTTTTGATATCTATTTCTCTCTCTCAAAATCAATCAAGAAATAAAATTTTAAAAATAAAGTTCTTCCCCTTTTTTTTAAATCCTTGGTGCTGATAACCAGAGCAGTCCTTCCCTCTTACTTCTTATCATGCTGACATGATCTGACTCTATACTCTGACCTCTCTCAAGAACAAGATATAGGGACTGTTCTGGATTCCCTTGGGCAAGTGTAACTAGGATACTTGACAGGCTCAGCTTAAATTTACAGAGCTTTTTAATCTTTTTTTTCTTTTAAATTAATACTATTAGAGCTAAATTATAAATGCAAGATTTGTGTTTGCCTTGGGGCTGACATGCCCCACAACCTGAGGATCACCTTAGCTAAGCCAAGGCTTTGTAATGGCCAGAGTATGGAGCAAAGGTGTTTCCAACTTCCCACAAAGGAAGAGGTCAGCCAGCCAGGAGACTAAAGTTCTTTCAAAGCCAGCTGGTGTGGCTCAGTTGTCAACCCATGAACCAGGAGGTTATGGTTCAGTTCCTGGTCAGGGCATATCCTAGGTTTGGGGCTCGATCCCTAGTAGGGGACATTCAGGAGGCAGCTGATCAATGATTATGTGTCATCATTGATGTTTTTATCTCTCTCTGAAATCAATAAAAAATTAAAACATTTTTTTCAATAAAAAATTTTAAAATAACATATAAATTTTTTTTTTTAAAGCAAACAGTAATGTACCTTGCTGGCTCTTAAAACTAAATACCTAGAACCATAAGCCTTGCTTTCAATTCTTAAAGGACCTGTCTGGCTGGCTTCTATTTCCTGGGTGAGATGATGGGACCAGTGGAGGACTGCAGAAGCCTCAGGCTCCACATGATCACAACATATGCTGTGTTCTCTGGTGCCCAAGGAACGTGCTGGCCTCCACTCTACCTGTGTCATGTAACCTACCTTAATCTGGTACATTATCACCAGAGAAACCCCTACTCTGGGGTCATCCTATTCCTATTTTTCTCTTATTTGTGCTGGTGCTTCAGTTGGACATGCTTCCACACGGGCTCCAGCTCCAGAGGAAGAGATGGTGACTTGAATTCTTGTTCCAGAATTCCCAAAGAAATCATTATTTTCACTGTTAAATTTTAAGAAACCCCATGTTTTCTGGCATCACTGGGACTGTGGTATATCTTTGCAGCTGTGAAGTTAGACCATAACAAGAAATGAAGCAAACAGTCAAGTTTGCCTTCAATTACTCACTGAAAGAAATCTTTAATTACCTGCACCATGTCAACTTATGATAAGGCAGTGAGATTTAAAGCAAGACTATATAATAGAAAGTACTGTAATATATTTCTAAACTTGAATATTATAAAGACCTAGTGTACTAACGATCCAATTAAGCCTGCCAGTAACTGTTACCTAATATACAACTTGCTTTAAAGAAACTAGTGCCAATTTGGCCACCTTGAGACTTTTTCTCCCTTCCAAACAATATTACATTGGACAGGTTCTGAATCTGCAAAGTACAGGCTTCACTCAAAGCTGTAGCCTCTTTGCTGGTACATGTGGTCTTTATGGCACCGTGTGTAACCTCCTACCTGAGGGTAGCTTGCTGTATGCAGCCGCTGAAGACATTGCCTGTCCTAGAGCTTGATTAGAGCCCAGAGGCTGCTGGAAACTGACAGCTTTGCTGGTTGAAGTTGTCCGTTGCTTTGATTTGGGGTCTTTAACTGGTTTTGTCCAGACCAGTGCCTCCCCAACCTGGAGAGCAGCTCCCAACTTCTGAGCCATCTCCACCATCTTGTGCACACATATGAAGAAAAAAAGAATCAAGGTATGACCAGCAGAGACAAGCCTACCCACTTCCTAGGCGTTCCACCTGGGGGGTTATAGCTGAAATAGTGACTATTGGCACTAGCATTTGAGGAAGGAAATACTTATTACAAGGAAATATTTCTCAAACAGCAGAAATCACAGACTGCCCTTAGTGAGGCAAGGGAGTTCATACAGGATCTCAAACCTAACAATTCAAGTTTGGTATGTTACTGAGCTAAAGTCCACCTTTCCTACAGAAGTTGGAGGAAGCTACAATGAGATATGGGCCTCAACTCAGAGGAGTTGTATTATCTATAACAGGCTCAGTAAGCCTAAATTTCCTCTTACTATTTTCTTCTACGCAAGTTTTTTTTTTTTTTCAGGCTGTCACTAATTGAATAATTCATGCTGCCAGGAACATCAAAGCCAAAATAGGCATGAGCTCGTAACAGGTTATCTTTGGATTATTTGGGCTTGATCAAAAGTTTGCTGACAGCTTGCTTATGGCTCCTTAGGAGCTAATAAAAGACATACCTCGTGCCCTGGCCAGTGTGGCTCAGTTGGTTGAGTAGCGCCCCGTATACCAGAAAGTGGTGGGTTCAGATCCCAGTCAGGGCATGTGCAGGAGGCAACCAATCAATGTCTCTCTCTCCTCTACACACCACCCCCCTTCCCTTGCCTCTTTCTCTAAAAGAAAAATTTAAAAAGACACCTGGCCAGCACAGCTCAGCAGTTGGACATTAACCTATGAACCATGAGGTTACAGGTTCCATTCCCGATTGGAGCTCATGCCTGGGTTGCAGGCTCGATCCCCATGTAGGGCAGCCAATCAATGATTCTCTCTCATCATTGATGTTTCTAGCTCTCTCTACCTTTCTTCCTCATTTACATCTATAATAATAAAAGCATAATATGCTAATTAGTCGCCAAAACTGGATTGGCTCAGTGGATAGAGTGTCGGCTTGTGGACTACAACTGTCTGGATGACCTTCCAGACAAAGCTGTGGCTACAAGGGCCAAGCCCCTTGCACAAATTTTGTGCACTGGGTCTCTAGAATTAATATAAATATTAATATATTTAATAAAAATATATTTTTTTAAAAAAACATACCTCAGAGTCATATTCTAAAGAGCTACTGTCCTTGAGTAGGTTGACTTTCTTCTCCATCTCCTGATACTGGGCCAAGGCGTCCCTCTTCTCACCCTGGTTGTATAGCAGCACAGCATAGTTCAAGTTGACTAAAGGGTTATACCTATGGCAAACAGACAGGGATTCTATGAAGCTTAGGCTTCACAACCAGTGGTCATTTAGAGATTCTCATTACACAAAAAACAAAACTGATTATAAGTAGAGATTTCTCCATTCTGCAGCAAGGTAAGAGGAACACATGTGCTATGTGTGGACTTGTGGGAAAGAATCAAGGAATAACTGCCCACCAGCAAAGCAGGTATTAGGACCAAGTCTGACATCTCAGCCCTCAGCAGGGACCACCAGGGTGGGCTGAAGAAGTGATCCCTACCCTGCTGCCTAGCAGATGCCAATGGAATAAATCTGGAGAGAGTCACGTTTATCTTAGATTAAACTGAGCCCAGAACTGCATCTGATATTCCATCTAGCCCATGGCTACCAGCAACCCAAGTCCACTGCCATCTCTGACTTTCTCTGGCCTCTGAACTACTAAAGTTGGGGCTGGAAACACTTTCTTAGAAAGTGGCAGTGGCAGT